CGGGCCCGGACGAGCGCCCGGAGGTGGCGGACGAGGCGCCGGGGGCCCTCATGGGCGGGTGTGTGGGCGCCCAGCACGACTCCTCGGGCAGCCTCAACGAGAACTCGGAGGGCACCGGAGGTAGGTGAGCGCCAGGGGGCAGCCTCGGCCCCCCATTGTTCCCGGCCAGGCCCGGCCACCTGTCCCGACCCCCGCGGGCCGCGCGGCCGGGCCCCCGCGCCCCTTTGTCATCCCCTCCTCCACGTCTCTCCCCGCGCTCCTCTTCCGGCTGACCAGCCGGCCGCGGGGATCGCCCCTTCCCTCCCTAGCCGCGGAGAAAAGTCCTCTGCGCTCCGGGGACATAGTCTTCGGCCTCGCAGACCGCACCACCTCGGCTCGGGAAACTAGAACCCGAACTGCCCTTCTGGCCACCTCACTCCCTCTCCAGTCCGTTTAATTATTCAGGAACAGGATGGCGGCGCTGGGGTTGCAGAAAAGCGAATTGATGGCGGGGGGAGGGAGCCTAATGCGTTCCCTCCGACGGGCCCCGCCACATCTCTCCGCACCCTTCCTTGTTCAGCAGAGTTGGCTGGTCTCAGCTTTCCTGAGTTTCAGATGACAGCTGCCCTGGTTGGTTCCAGTTTGGCCATTTAAACCTGCGAGTTTTCTGGAGCTCGGCTGGAGAAGTCTCAAGTGGCCTCAGGCATATTAAGGAGGGGAGGGGAAACGTTCTACCCTAGTAAAACGTGGCTTCTTGCAACTGCCTGGGGGTGTTGGGCCGGTGTGCTTTAGGGGTGGGCTAGTCAGATTCCGATCCATCTTACGTAAAAGGAAAATGTGTAGGGTAAAAGTACAAATGCATCACTCTGACTTATTAGCCCAGTAGGATCAGTACTTCAAAAGTTTTCTAACACGGAACGTATTTCTACTTTATAGTAAATAGCAGTGTGCTAAGGAGAGGTATTTTAATTCAATCAGCACTAGTTGCAGTATGGCAGTATAATAATAAAATTAATTCTACCTTTACCTGAGTCCGCCCTATAAAATGCGTAGAGGCTAGAATGTTTTAGTTAAGAAACACCTTCTAGGAATAGCAAAGATGACAGTGTTGGTTTGATGCTGACCTAATGTTAGTAATGTTAGATACCTCAAAATATGAAGCATATTTGTGAGTTCCTAAACTACAAGTTTTTTTTTTTTTAAATTATAAATTGTTTGGATATGAGACGGTTTACAACTTTTTCTTAGCATACAAACATTTAGACCAGTTGCTTGCCCTGTCACTTAAGCTATGCCTGTAAACCGTGTACACCTAACTTTTGGCTGATGGATTTCCTGAATTACGTGATGTTTAGCTATGCCACTTCAATAAACTATGGGCATTCGGTATGATTAAATCATGGGCAAATAATTTGACAGCTCAGTAAGGTTATCAGTCGGTGGTGCATTTCATGTCATAGCCATTATTACTTGTTGGGATATTAACGAGATTCTCATTGACAACAAAGCAGATAAAAAGGGCATAATTTAAAACAGCCTTGGGTTAAAGTCAAATTGGGGGTCAAAATGATTTCTTCCTTTTATCAAGGTGACCATACTGAAGTATATTAGTACTTGTATAGATAGTGTTTAGTTTTAAATAAATGTTTTACACTCGTTTTAAAATTGTACTAAATATTTTTGTCTTCTCCGAAATAAACCTAAACCAATTTATTTAAGCCTTTTGGTAGTGTGACTTACGACCGGCCAGGCATTATTAGTATGGACTTTTAAAAGCATGAAATCTTAGCTTTGGGTAATTTATTACCAGTGATATCCAATTACATAGCTATAGTATCAGTTTCTTTGAGGACTGAGTTCTCTGGACCATAAGCTGTGCTATACTTCTCCAAAGCAAAGTTTAGAAAAAGGGACATCAGTGACCAAACTTCTTCATTTTCTCCTGAAGAGAGGGCATGGCCCTGATGTAACTCGGGTGGGGAAAGGGGCTGTGTGGGGTAAAAGGATTATTTCTAGAATTTAATTATGGATGCCTTTATTCTCCATTATTGTCAAGATAGTTAAGAGTTAATTGTGGTTTAATGAAATTAGCTCAGGTGTGTGTTTCAGGTTAACATATTAAAGAGTTCTTGATGATTAAATAGGTTTTTGTTGGGAAGGAAAAGACTTTTTCCTAAGGGTGTTGGCACAGATCCTTAGCTTTTCAAACATACAGTGATGATTAGTAGTTTTAATCTGGATATATTGGCTTATAAAAATTCTTTTATCAATATGGAGTAAAATAGTCTTAGATGCTTTTCATGATGTTTAATTACATTCGCTATGTTGTGCAAACATAACCATTTTAGAATGTCTGGACCCTTTCTAAATACCAGTAGAAAAGTGATTTTTTTTTTTTTTTTTTTTTTAAAGATGACCGGTAAGGGGATCTTAACCCTTGACTTGGTGTTGTCAGCACCACGCTCACCCAGTGAGCAAACTGGCCATCCCTATATAGGATCTGAACCCGTGGCCTTGGTGTTGTCAGCACCACGCTCACCCAGTGAGCAAACTGGCCATCCCTATATAGGATCTGAACCCGTGGCCTTGGTGTTGTCAGCACCACACTCTCCCGAGTGAGCCATGGGGCCGGCCCAGAAAAGTGATTTTAAAGAAAAAAAATTGGCCATTTGAGATCCTGTACTTTCCTTCTGGATCCATCTCTTATGTATGCAAATAATTGTGTGTGTATTAAGAAAAGCTTTCTTTTTTTTTTTTTTACAAAAATCCTATGTTGTCAGCACCATGCTCAGCAGTGAGCCAACCGGCCATCACTATATAGGATCCAAACCCATGGCCTTGGTGTTATCAGCACCGCACTCTCCCGAGTGAGCCACGGGCCAGCCCTAAGAAAAGCTTTCTTAGATGAATTACTTTTTTGAAGGAATTTGGGAAATTTTTGCAAGAGACTGTAGAATATGGAAGTGGCTTAATTCACATTGTAAGATTTGTGTTACCTATTGTTTTGGAATTGTTTTAGTATCTTCGTCTGGCAATCCTTGCCTAGAATTCATTTTTGGGTTTCAGCTACTTAGACTGTTTTTTTTTTTTTTTTTCATGTCCGGCAACGGATCGCAACCCTCAGTGTCACGCCCGTACCGGACCGGGACCAGCAACAGGATCACAAACCTCGGTGCTGCGCCCGCACCTCGCTCAGCCAGTGAGCGGGAACCGGTCTGTATGTGGGATCCGAACCCTTGGCGGGAGCGCCTCTGCGCTCCAAAGCGGCGCACTGTAGCAGTGCGCCACCGGGCCGGCCCCTAGACTGTTTTTTTTAAATGCCTAATTTTAATAGACAGGTATATCATAGAAGTTATGCAAGATTATTTAACAATTCTCTTCAAGCTTCCATGCTCCTAGAATTTCCCATTGTTTTGACATTTTTAGACAGCATATTCTGTATGGCTCTCCACCCTATTATGATGACATTGTGATGCTGGTGTTGGCACTTAGGACCTGTAGACAAGGATTTAGCCCATGGCATTTACTACGAAATTATCCTTTATGATTTTTTAAAATAAGAAATACGTGGGGAAAAAAACTCAATAAAATTAAATTAGTTGGGCCGGCCCGGTGGTGCACTGCTACAGTGCGCCGCTTGAGAGCGCAGCGGCGCTCCCGCCGAGGGTTCGGATCCCACATACAGACCAGTTCCCGCTCACTGGCTGAGTGAGGTGTGGGGGCAACACCGAGGGTTGCGATCCCGTTGCCGGTCCCGGTCCGGTACGGGCGCGACACTGAGGGTTGTGATCCGTTGCCGGACACTAAAAAAGACAAAAAAAAAAAAATTAAATTAAATTAGTTGAAGACAGCCAACAAGTTTCTTTTCTTTGTTCATCTCTTTAATGAAAGTGATGTACAGAGTAAGTTCGCACTTTCTGAGTGTGTCATTTACTATATACACTCAGTTATATCTCCAGAGAACTGATCCTGGTGGTCATAAGTTTCCAGGTTTACAGGAGGATAACTCTGAATGCTGGATGTTCATTTCTTTAGTCTTTATTTCAGAATGTCTTGGGAACATCATGGAGTTCTTTCGGATATCCATTTATAGCAACCTTACAGACACCTACTCGATGAGTAACAATGGTTTTTGAATAATATCTACCATTTATCCAGTATTTATTACATAACAGGTCCTGTGCTAAGTGATTAAGTTCTCTCATTTAGTCCTCAACAGACCCGTGAGATAAATATCATCTCTGTTTCATAGACAAAGGATTGAAGCCCAGAGGAATTAAATAACATGCTTAATCATATACCTTATAAATGGCAGTCAGAACTAAACCCAGGGCTATAATAAAGTATGTAAGTTTCATTCTCTTGTTTTCTAGTTTTACTTTTTTTTAATTGTGGTGAAACATATTACATAAAATTTGACATTTTAACCTTTTTTTTTTTTAACTGACCGGCAACGGGATCGCAACCCTCGGTGTTGCGCCCGCACCTCGCTCAGCCAGTGAGCGGGAACCGGTCTGTATGTGGGATCCGAACCCTCGGCGGGAGCCCCACCACGCTCCCACGCGGCGCACTGTAGCAGTGCGCCACCAGGCCGGCCCTCTGGTACCAATTTTCTATTTTAGTCTTTTGTGTTGCTATGACAGAAATACCCGAGACTGGGTAATTTATAAGGAAAAGAGATTTATTTGGCTTACGATTCTGGGACAGCTGCATCTGGCATGGGCCTCAGGCTGCTTCTACTCATGGCAGAAAGTGGCAGGCAGCCGGCAGGTACAAGTAGATCACATGGTCAGAGGAAGCAAGAGAGAGAGAGGAGGTGCCAGGGTCTATTAAACAACCAGCTCTCACAGGAACTAATAGAGTGAGAACTCACTCATTAATCTCCCCTCCCCCAGGGAGAGCATTAATCCATTCATGAGTGATCCACCCCCATGACTCAATCAGTTTCCAACACCACCACACTGGGGATCAAATTTCCACATTAGTTTTGGAGGAGACAACAGATCCAAACTTCATCATCATTCATCTGTTGATGGGCATTTTGGTTGGTTTCCACATTTTGGTGTGAATACTGCAGCTGTGAACTTTGGTGTACAAATATCTGTTTTGAATCCCTGTTTTCAGTTCTTCTGGCTATGTAC